AGAAAACCGGAAGTGGCGCTGTAGCTCAAGTGGTAGAGTGCTCACCTTGAGCTGAAGAGCTGAGGGACAGCGCCCAGGCCGAGTTCAAGCCTCACGACCGACAAAAAAAAAAAAATCTTTTATTGTCTGTCTGATATATATGTGTGTATGTATACACACATGTATGTATACACACACACATATATATCTTTTGTTTTAAATCCTGTAACTATATGAATTGTGTGTATGCATAGAGTTAAAGTAAAAGTAATTAAAGTAAGGCAAACATTTTGACTATGCATAGAAAGATCTTACCAGAAAATAATTTGTGGAATTTTATTGACTCAGTAAATGTTTGTTTCAGGGGAATGCTCAGTGAATCTGGGAAGTATTTACTGAAGAAAGATTCAGAGTAATCTCCAGGGTTTATTAAAATGAGCACATTTTTAAGGTTCTGTGTTCATAGATTCTTTAATGTTATTAAAAGATTATTTCTGTGCTTGTGACTTTACCTTCCTGGATTATTATTTTTGCCAATAGATAATCGAAGAAAACAATGTTTTCTGAAAAATGAGATCACTTCCATCCTTTTCTTTGTTTCTAAACATATAAAATCAAGGTTTATTGAAATTAGTTTTGACATATATCTGCTTTATGATCAGAACTGTCACTTGAGTTTGGAATGGTAGGTATATTTGATTTCCTCCCCCCCTCCCACTTTTATTTTTACTATAAATACTAGTCTTAAGTTCACTTTAAAATGTTCAGAGGCTGAGTGTGTTGGTACATGCTATAAAAACATTCAGCTTACATTTGAACATGTTTGTTTTTTTGTTTTTGAGATAAGGTTTTACTGTTTTACCTAAGCAGTTCTAGAACTCAAGATCCTCCTATACCCTAGAACTCTAGAACTCAAGTACCCTCCTCTGGGGACTGGATTACAGGCATGCACCCACCATGCCTAGCATGAATGCTTTTCTGTATCGTTGTATTTTCAAGTAAAGTTGAAGCAATAGGTCTGATAAGTCATATTTGCTTAAATTATTTTTTTTAAATTTTATTTTATTTGTGAACATACTGTACAGGGGGGTTACAATTACATGGGCAGGATAATGCGTACATTTCTTACCAAGCATTGCAGCCTCCTCCTTTGGTTTACCCTTCACATCCCTTCCCAGCCTCCCCCCTCCCCCCGCTTAAATTATTCTTATGTATTCTTTTTTAATATATATTTTATTGTAAAGATACTGTACAGAGGGATTACAGTTACATGAGTAAGGTAATGAGTACATTTCCTATCAAGCATTGTTACCCCCTCCTTTGTGTTTCCCCTACAATCCCTTCCCTCCCTACCTCCCCAACTACTCCCCCCCCACACAAAGTTGTAAAGTTTGTTTTCAACATAGTGTCTTGTACATCTCGTTGTTACAATGGGTCAACCTGTATCTATCCATTTCAGCA